GCTGGAGTTCTTCTTGCAGGCTTTTTAAATAATATTTTAGTGACAACAGAGAAGCTGACTTACCATCCTTATGTTGCATGTGACAGTTGTGGCTATGGTCATCAGCATTTCTACCAGGCTTAGGAGGATCTGAAGGAGGAAGAGAGAAAAAATGGTTTGTTAACATGCCTATTGGACACAATTTATTGATTATATTGAATAGGGAATAAGGCAGGATCTGATTGGTAGGTATGTGTATAATGATCCATTCTGTATCAGTTCTTGCACACAGTAATGCCAAAAGGGGCCGCTTGCTATTGAGTTTGGTGCTACATAATAGGAAGCGAAGACTACAACATTGATCTTTTAACAAACCTCATGAATTGTAGATTTGTTGATGTGTTAAAGCACAACGCCAGTAAATTAAAAAAAAAGCATTTTTGTATAGACTTGAAAAGAGTAAATAGCAGTTGCCGCTGGGACTGGAAAATGCAAAAAGTAATGGTAACCTGACACAGGCTCTAACCCTTTCCCCATTTTACTGAAATAATAGTGTCTTGTTGCAGTCTTTTTTCCCAGCTGGAGAGATTTCCAATCATTTTTTAACCCGACAAATAGTCAGAGGAAACCTCTCCAATGGGGTTGTGCTTTAAGGCTGCCTTTTGAATCAGACCGAAATAATCAGTCTGTTAGTGCAATATTCTACATCAGAGGTTGACCATCTTAGGCCCTCCACCTGTGGTGAAACTACAAATGAAATCATGCATCTGCCTTTGGAAGCCATCCTTGTGGCTCTCAGAGTCTTGCAATGCCTTATGAGACTTCCACAACAGCTGGGGCTGAAGTTTGGCTACATTAACAGGACCATGTTAGCATTATATAAAGGTGCAGAAAGTAAAGTTAGCCCTTCCCTGTTTAAGCTAAATACCCCATAATGGTGAGAGACTTACATAACCATGTACAGGACTGTTATCTATGAAGATCAGCGAAGCTGAAAGGAGGGGAGCCGATGTCAGAAGGCAAACCACGCACAGAATGGGGTCTGCACGAACGGAGAATTTCCGGCACCAATGACTGATCTTCGAACCGATCACCAGACCAAATATCATAGAAAGGATCGAACAGCTCCTGACTAGCATTCTATAGAAAAAAAGATTGGGAAAAGATGTGAGTTTGAGGTTAACATCTTACACATGTGTATGTTAGATTTTAAATAAAAATGTATTGTGCACTTTACTTGTCATCCAGCACGCATAGCAAGGAGTGGCAAATTTGGTCTTTGAGAACCACCTCTCGTGCATGATGCATGTAGGCGTAAGCCCAGATTTCCACTCCTCTAGAAATAAATGGCATCACTGCAGAGCCAATGATGGTGAAGAGTAGGCTGTGGCTGAAAGAGAGAGAGAGAGAACATGGAGGTTAATTTTCACATTGTTTTGGAAGTATTAAAAAAAAAAGAGCCTTTTCTTTATAGAGTAGATAGACTTTTATACCAGCTCTAAAGCAAAATATTATTCGTATAGGTTCTGCATACAAAAACCAAAAGATGGCATTGAGTCAGGGGACAACACTGCACCTCCATAAGTTCAGTGCAGTGATTGAGTGTTGTCACTCTATAACAGAAAGGGATAGTGGCAGGATCAAAAGGTAAGAATAATGAGAAAAACCATCTTAAAAAGAGAACTTATGCAGCCACCACATCCAAGGATTGATAGGCTGCAATATAGAACATTTTTGTGTGGGTGTAGGTAGTTCTACTTTAAGAACTCTACAGTTTTTTTTGGTTTTAATTTACAACAATGTTTTGGCATGGGGAGTCAAAGTAAATAAGATAACCTTGCATTTTTAGTGCAAGTTCTACTTAAATATTGTGGCTCATCAAATTGTAAGCGATAATACCATAAATATGACCAGATAGTCGGGAAATACTCACTTTTTACGCACTACTTTGAACGCATCGGAGAGGGAGACTTTAGGAACAGATTCAGAAGTCTTCCTCCGTGGTGGTTCCTTCATAAAGATGATGATCAGTTGAATTGTAAGGACGCTAAATCCCGGGACGACCTATGTGACAGAGTCAGGAAATAGTAACAGGTAAAGAAAAAACAACTAAATATACAAATAAAGTATATATATTTACTTGCCGAAAAGACCAGCACGTTAACATATACACATTAGGCTTCATTTCCAAAGCTAGCACCCTAAGATAAGGAGCATTATTTTCTTAAATAAAAAAACAGTTATTTTCTGCTAAGATCTGAAAATTACAATCACATAGCGATAATAATGATCCTTATTCTTGTGTTAATGCTGAACTCCAGGCACATGTAAAAGGTACAAATTATTGCTGCTTTGCAATCAAAAATACATAATTTGACTTGATATCAGCCATTTGCAGTCCATGTACAGCAGAGAGACAGAAGCAGCATAGGGAACCAGTCAGTTGTGCTGCAGTACAAGGAACTTGTAAAAGGAAAGAGCATAGTGATAGAGAGATAAGCTCATCAGTCTGCTCCTTTTCCCCACCAGTCACAGGCTGGGGTTGTGGGTGGAGGGGACCTATAAGTGTTTATTGAACTGCAGCAGAAGACAATTCTTCTGCCCTGCCAGACAGGAGTGTGCTTTGTGTTAGAGCTCTGTAAATCTCAGGACTCTCATTTGTTTCATCTGCATATTTCACTATTTGCCTTGAGCAGGGGCGTAACTAGAAATCACAGGGCCCCATAGCAAAATGTTGTATGGGGCCCCGTGATTGCTAGTTATGCCACTTGCAGAGCCCACCATAGACTCTCTATGGTGGGCTCTGCAAGGTCTCAGTTGAGCTGTACGCTTCTTACCTGTCACCTCCGTGGCCGCCGCCGCCGGGCCCCTGCCTCCTCTTCCGTTCCCGGGCTCCGCCTCCTTCTATCGACGGGCCCCGCCTACTCTTAAATCACTGGCCGCACCTGCTCTTAGATCGCTGGCCAGTGATGTGAGAGGAGGCGGGGTTGCTGTTAGGCGGGCCCCGCCTACTTTTTTACTGCAAATGCCGGTGATCGATCGAAAGTTTGAACTTATCGAGTTCTGGGACCGGAATTCATGCGGTCCCACAACTCGATAAGTTTGGACTATCGATAGAACACCGGTGTAACCGGCCTATTCTGCCGCATCTGCTGGCTGTCACTGACACAGCTCCGCAGCGGCTGTGAGTGGGAACGTTTTCCTTCACAGCAGCTGCTGAGCTATGTCAGTGACAGCCAGCACCCGAGATGCCATAGCGACCCAGGCGGCCCACACGGCATTAGAGGGATGCCTGGCCGGGCCCCCCTGTGCACGGGCCCCATAGAGGCCGCCTGGGTCGCTATGGCGATTGTTACGCCACTGGCCTTGAGTTTAGCCTTCAGGCTTTGTGAATTGAGTCTCAGCATTTTGACCCTAGCAATTCTCCTGTTCTTTATGTCTGCAGAGCATGAAGAAGGTGAAAACACTATTCCAATGCTATATCTCTGCAGACTTCATGCCTCATTGCCAATGCTTAGGAGTATAAGTATCACCAATAAAACTGATGACACCAACACTAAGGTATCCACATCCAGTTACCCCTTCCTGCCCATCAGTGTGCACTGCCAGCATTACTGCTGGAAACCTGATTTCATGTTTTAAGGGGGCATGGGGCAAGTCAGCATAAAGACAGGTTTTAGCTAAGGGCATAAGCTGAAAAAGCTAATTGAGTCGTGTATTCCTTTAGGTGTCAGGAGTTTTAGTGCTGAAGTGATTATCAGAGAATAATAATTATACAACTTACCCTTAGCAACCAGCGCCAGTTTAAGCCCGCTTGGCCTAGGATCTTGTAAGAAAGGATGTATCCAAGACCGCTATAAAGGGTGAAAAAACACAGGTGGTAATTAATGAAATACCACAGTTGAGTTTACAAGGAACCATTAAACTTACACTTGCCCTGGCATTGCCCTAAAATGCTGGATGCATTCCACATTCCAAGTGTTTCATGTTAATTCCTGATCTAATTCTACATCCAGAAATTAACCTGAATTTAATGTTTTGTGGGCTGGGCTTACCATAAAAATATCCTACTAGGAACCTGTAATTAAATTAAACTATAGAACTCAAATACAGGCAGCTAGCGATCTAAATGCATTCATTTATTATTCTAGAGCGTCATGGGAGCAAATCTGGGGGTGCTCTAGTATGCAAATACTAACTTTATCTCATAGCTTGACTTTTTAGCTCAACCCCTCCTGTTCCTCACTATTGGTTGGTGAGGCCTCTAATTACGCAGGGTGAAAGTTTTAATGTTTGGTTGATAAATATACAAGGAAAACCCTCCTTTTTACCTTTGCTGTCTGTAGGGTTTCACTCTTCACTGCTGGAGTTTAGAGAATATAAAATAATTTGGAAGTCAGCCGTAGAAAAGTTACACCCACATGAAGGTCTTAGGAGATATCTCATCCCTGGGGTTCCCAAGAGCAGGGCCGGCCTTAGGGGTGTGCGAGCAGTGCGGCCGCACAGGGCGCCATGGCAACAAGGGCGCCGTGCGGCCGACACAGCTCGTCCTGGGGGCGGCTTCTCTCCCCCTTACCGCTGGGCGCTGGCCATCCGATATGACAGCGCTCCCT